AGACTGAGTGCGGTCAGAGCCGAGAGCGAAGACCCAGGAGGTCTCTACGGTCCGACCGCGCCAAGCACAACGTCCTCTACTTCGGCCCGTCCGATGCCATACCCGTTCACCTCCTCTGCGCTTCCGTGGCCCCGATCTACTTCGGGATCAGACTACTTGGAGGTGTTCATGACAGGGAAGGACGGCGCCATGGACGGGGAGCCTGTCCGCCAGCGATCTACACGGGAATGCCACCGCATCCCAAAGGCGAGCGCCAAGTATAAGTTCGACTCCGAGGACGCCATGGCGATGCTATCTCCCCGTGACAAGCTCTTCTACGTGACCAAGAAGAAGGAGTCCCCCGGGCAGGTGGAATTTCGCGAGCTGAACTCCGAGGAGAAAGCAATCTTTCGAAGGTCAAGGGCTAAAGAAGTGAAATCCCTCCTCGACTCAGGCGCCATTACAATCCTCAGCGTCGAGGACAGCCTTAAGTTCGCCCGCGAGCACCCGGAGCACGTCCTCACCTCCCGCTACGTGGATCGTTGGAAGCCGGAAGATGGAGTTACGTTTCCCAAAGACTTCGACATCAAACACATCAACGCCGACTTCAAGGCCAAGCTGGGACCTAAATCCAGGTGGTGCGTCGTAGGATGGCGCGATCCTCAAATACATGAGGTGGAGCGGTCGGCGCCTACGCCGCTCACGTTGAGCATGCACTTGTTCATGCAAATGAGCGCAAGCCGCTCTTGGCCGGCATGGGTCAAAGACGTGAAAACCGCCTTTTTGCAAGGCAAGCCCACCACCAGAAAACAAAAGTTGGCATGCAAAATGCCTTCTGACGAAGCTTTTGAGGGCTACGATGGCAGGCAGCTCATACGCTTGGAGACGGAAGTCTACGGCCTGGTGAGTGGGCCGGCTTGGTGGAGAAGGTCGTTGCTGGAACTGTTGGTCAAGTACTTTGGCTACCGGGTAAACCCTTATGACCGGTGCGTCCTCACCCTCGACGGCAACTCCGACGACGAGGACAGCGAGCTGGACCACACAATCGGACCTCTCCGGTGCCTTAAGGTGCGAGAGAGCCTCAAACGCACGCAGGGCATCATTGTGATAGAGGTCGATGACTTGTTGGAGGCTGGCGGTCCTCGCCATCGTCAGTTGATGGAACGTCTGGAGAACAAGGTGAAGTTTGGAAAGATCCAGTGCCTTCGGGAGCAGCCGGAGGGCACGTCCTACGCTGGTCGTCGCGTCTACCAGGACAAGGACTGGGGTTTCAGGTACACCATGGACGACTACATCGACCAGCGCCTGAAGCCGGTGCGGTGTGATCGAAAGATCTTCAAGAAAGATGCCGACACTGTGCGCATCAACGACGGCGAGGAAGCACAACTCCGTGGCACAGTCGCAGCCATAAACTGGGTGGCTCGCGAAGGTCGCCCTGACGCTAGCGCAGCGGCGTCTATCTACTCCGGGGTGTTCGGCAAGGCCACGATCGGGGACATCCACCGGGTCAACGACGTCGTTCACAAGCTCAAGGCGCACCCGCTCTCCCTGAAGGTCCACCCGATCAAAGAGTCGGCGATCCGGCACTTTGTCATCGCAGACTCCTCCTTCGACCCGAAGGGTGCCGAGAAACCTCAACATGGATGGCTGCAGGGAGTCACTACTGCAGCTCTGAACGCCGGAAAACCCGCCAAGGTGAGCCTGCTGGGATGGCGGTCGAGACGTATGCGGCGCAAGGCAGGAAATACCCTTCTTTGCGAGAGCATCTCTCTCAGCACAGCTCTGGGAGCCCTGGAACGTCAGAGCGCAATGTGGCTTTCGTTTACGGTGTCGCATTTCGACCCGCGGCAGATGGCTCAGGATGAAGATGAAGAGCGCGGCCTACACGGCGAAGGCACCGTGATCCTGGAGGAGAACCTGAACTATGTGGATCCCTTGGCAGTGGCGGTCGTGGACGCGAAGAGCCTCTTCGACGCGGCCGTGGCAGATCAGTCGACCGGAGAAGACGACCGCGCGGCTTTGGAAATAGCCATTGTCAAGGACAGCCTCAACAAGCTCCAGGGCCGCCTGCGTTGGATTCCTCACAACGTCAACCCAGCTGACCATCTGACAAAAGCCGTAGGAGCTCACGAGCAACCGCTCATGGAGTTCATGTTGTCCGGACAGTTTTCTATCGAAGCCGAGCACGAAGTGCTCGAACGCGGAAAGCAGAGCGCTTTTCGAATGAAGTCAAGAGTCAGCTCGGCTTACTAATTTTTAGGGGGCTGTGAAACCAGTTTGCAGTTCCATG